GATTCAGACAGATAGAGATTTGGAGCATAATACTCCTGACCTCACAATCATGTTAAAAAACAAAGTATAGATCGTCGATGTCACAATCCCAGGTGACAACAGGATTGCAGAGAAACAACTGGAAAAGCTGACATGATATGAGGATTTAAAGATCGAACTGCAAAGACTCTGGCACAAGCCAGTAAAGGTGGTCCCAGTGGTGATTGACACACTGGGTGCAGTGCCTAAAGACCTTGGCCTGCACTTAAACACAATCGGCGCTGACAAAATTGCCATCTGCCAGCTACAAAAGGCCTCCTTACTGGGATCTGCACGCATTATTCGCCGATACATCACACAGTCCTAGACACTTGGGAAGTGTCCAACTTGTGATGCAATTCAACAGCCAGCAGAGTGTCTGCTGTGGACTCATCTTGTTGTGTTTCAAATAATAATAATAATAATAATCATCATCACCATCATCTTTATTTATACCTTTCCACCATCTCCCCAAAGGGGACTCGGGGTGGCTTACATGAGGCCAAGCCTGATAATACATAACGGCAAAATAAAGAACAACAAAAATATCATCACAATAAAATAAATAAAACATAAAGTAAATAAAACAATACAAAATAACAGGGTGAAAGATCAATCACAATGGGCGGGCCAAATGTATGACATAAAATGATAAAATACTGGATGAGATAGGAATAACGATTACATATATAGATATAAATATAGGAAAAACTCATAGGTATATGGTTACTTTCCAAAGGTACATCGGAAGAGCCAGGTTTTTAAATCCTTCTTGAAGGCTGCTAGGGTGGGGGCTTGCCTGATCTCACCAGGTAGTGAGTTCCACAGCCTGGGGACCACAGCGGAAAAGGCTCTCTCCCTCGTTCCCACAAGTCGCACCTGTGATAGTCGAAGGGGCGAAAGGAGGGCCTCCCTGAGGAATGGAGGGATCGTGCAGGTTGGTGGTAGGAGATGTGGTCACGAAGGTAGGCGCATCCCAATCCGTTTAGGGCTTTATAGGTGATGACCTTCACCTTCTGTACCTTAGATAGCTCTTTCATGTCTGAATAAAACCCACAATGGATTCATTGTACTTCTGACCTGGATGCTACTGCTGGTGCTGTTCAGAGATGTCCCACAGCATGCTGCTGCCAGAGAAGAGTACAAATAATGGCTGCATCCACCTTAGTCAAGGAGCATAGTACCAAAAGTCAATGGAATTATTTTGGCACATGATGGAAAAATCTCAAAGCTGCTTCTCTTTCTACAGACCTGCTAGTATAAATGCACATGTGACAAAGTAATTGTCTTAACATTCTTTTACCATTTTCTGATGCCCCAAATCTGCCTGAGGCAGCTGTCTTGCTTTGCTCAATGGGAAAGCAGCCCACCCTTCTCATGCCCACTGGTCTGCTCTACACTGTCATATGTCTGGATGCATCATCACTTGGAGATGCATTCCCATAAGACGAGCTGCTGTGGAAACAGAGATACTCCCATTGAAATCATTGAACCCTGCTGATTATGACCTTTGAAGGAAGAGAGTCCTTTGCTTTAGCCCAGGGCTGCCTGTATACAACACCTTCAGTAAGAACTGGGCATAGATGTTCTTGGCAGTACAGATTAAATGATCTGTTGGTTTTTGTTCTGAACAAAGGATACAGCTGATGAACGTTTTTGATAGGAAAACATACTTAGGGCGAAGAAGAAAAAAAATGAAAAGTGCAAAGTTCAAGTTCAGAGTCTGATAGTTATTGATGATAGGCCCAGTTCTCCAGTGTAGCTTCCATTAGAGCCTTGAATGAGAAGCCATTAACACTGGTATTAACTTCTAACATCTAGATTTTTTTTAAAAAGCCATTTGGAGCCAGGGGTTAATAACAGTAAATGAAAGTGCTAGTTTCTCTTTGGAATGAAGCGTATGGCAGCATCACATGGGAGAAGATATCTTAGTGCCTAATAAAGGATGGCCTTCTCAGATTCCCCAAAGCTTCAGTAGTCATCATGGTAGCAGATGCTAATTGTGGTGGCCATCTGAGAAAAGAAGTAGAAAAATGGGGACAGGAGACAACCCCTGCATAGAGCATACAATTTATGATTGGCTCTGAGAGGACAATACATCAGATCCCTTTACAGCTTCCTCTTTGCACATGACCTAAATAGTAACATACAAAATTGACTATTCCCATGTCCCAGCAAAAGGTGCACCGTAGACTTCACTTTTGACAAAGATAAGCCTGAGCAGCTGTTCTTTCTTAGCAGAGAATCATAGAGTTGGAAGAGACCTCGTGGGCCATGCAGTCCAACCCTGCTAAGAAGCACTAAAATCGCCTTCAAAGTACCCCCGACAGATGGTTATCCAGCCTCTGTATAAAAACCTCCAAAGAAGGAGCTTCCACCACATTCCGGGGCAGAGATTTCTATTGCTGAACAGCTATCACAGTTAGGAAGTTATTCCTAATGTTCAGGTAGAATCCCCTTTCCTGTAGTTTGAAGCCATTGTTCCATATCCTAGTCTCCAGAGCAACAGAAAACAAGCTTGCCCCCTCCTCCCTATGACTTCCCCGCACATGCAAGTATTTGTTTTTACATGGCTATCATGTCTCCTCTCAGCCTTCTCTTCTGCAGGCTAAAAATGCCCAGATGTTTAAGCTGCTCCTCATAGTGCTTGTTCTCCAGACCCTTGATCATTTTAGTCACCTTCCTCTGGACACATTCCAGCTTGTCAACATCTCCCTTCAGTTGCAGTGCCCAGAATTGGACACAGTATTCCAAGTAAGGCAGAATTGAGGAGTAGCATGATATGACAAGTGGGGGCTTGTTTGGGAAGGAACACAAATCCCAAACGCTGTTCCACCAATTATAATGGTGTAAAGATTTATTTGAGAATAAAAATCCCAAAAGCAGAACACCACTTAGATTGGAATGAGGCTTCTGTGATTAAAAGCTCCAAAACAAAAGCTGTAAGGAAAGATGGAACTTTCTACTGGCCAAAAAACCTTTTGAAAGAACTCTCTAGCCACCACCAAAATTAAAAGCACTGATAAGCCCTTGGCTTACTCGAGGTATCTTAGGCAAGAGTGTGTTGGACTAGCCCTCAGGCTTGTGTTCTGAGGTAACACTAAAAGATGGTTCTTTAAATTATTCGCTGCCACCATAGACTCTTGATTGTTGCAGGAAACTGCTTTTAAAACTTAACCCACAGAGGCACACGTGAGGCAGTTGTTGTGAACAACAAAACAATGATGTTTATTTAAGAGAACTGGAACAATTCAGGTATCAAGCTTAACTGTTTCAAAATACTAACTTAAAAGCATGTGGTTACTTTAAACAGTTCAGACTTAGTTACATATGAAACACTTCTCTCTCCTTCCTCAGAATGTACTGACAGAATTGCTTCTCTGACAGTAATTTCTAAACACACAGATAGTCCTACCCTGGATCTATCTCTTCACTCCTCCACCAGTTATCTCTCTAATAGCTGTAAAAACCTACTCACTAGCTATCTCTGCTAGCCAACTGACCAATCTCAGGCCTTTCTCACTAAACCTCGTCTTCACTCCAAACTCCTAACACCTTCTCCCTTTGACACCCAGGTTCAGTCTCTTCTGAAATCCAGATTCAATCTGCCTCACAGGGTTTCAAAACCTTCCCTTTTGCCAAGTTAGGCTCCACCCACTCAGCCAATTACAGTCTTCTCTCATTTCCCTCCAAAGCTGCTCTTTCTAAACACGCCACCTTCAGGAAATGAGTAACTAAAATGGATTCCCCCGGCACCCTTTCCAAAATGGCTGCCGAACTTCCTGGGCCTACTTTTCTAGGCTTTTCCTAGCCTAACAGGTAGGGAATTCACTACACATGACTTCCCTGGATCTAGACACTATACTATTTATGCAGGCCAAAATCCGTTGCTGGAAGGTAAGGATAGAATCTTTGAAAAATAAAATCATAACTTTTTTTTAGGGAAACAGAGCAATTGAGATGTCTGCTTTATTGGTCCCCGTTGAACTCTGGGCAAGGGACAATGCCATGTGTTACAGAAAACATTGTAGGTTAAATATTATGATACACAGTGGGTGGCTGTTACATCTTGCTTCCACCTCAAGCCAATCTAACAGGAAACTTCCACTGACTTGGGGCTTGACTGTTTGCTGTTGTTTGCAGAATTGGGAGTGAGCTCAATGTGCGTATCAGTGTGAGATCGATTCCGGACAGCCTCGCCAGTGTGGGATCTGCTCCAGGATCCCTCGCCAGTGTTTTCTTTATAAGAAAAAAAAATAGATTAAAGGTATTATTTATGTCGTTCTACAAAAAACTAGGTACTTAATTCATTGGAGTGCAAAGCCAAAGGTTTTGATAGGATGCAAGGTTGGCACTCTCAAGCATTGTATATTGAGAATCTGACCCTAGCAGACAGCGTAGCAAATTGCACACTCTGCCCACTGCTGGGAGGACCATCTGCTTTCTGATTTGTTCTGTAGGTCTCCTCAAAATGAGACAAACAGACAGCTTCTCTGGAGACTTTCACTAGCAACAGAAAGAGTCTCATGTAGTTATCCCGAATTAATGACAGGAGGTCCATCTTCAGAGGAAAGCATTGTGGGTAAGATATCTTCACCTACAGAAATCCTTTTGCAGGCTTGAAACTACAGCTCAGACTGACTGAGGAAAGGTTCCAGCCAATAAAAGGGTGCTGGCCATGAGTAAAGTGTGATCTTTTGTGAGGTCTTAGTGCAGTGACGGCTTAGGCTGGAGTCTCACTAGCCTGGCATCAAAAGCAAATTAGTGGTTGAATCCACAGATGTATTTATCATTTTTCATGAGTATCCTTGATCTGAGCAATGCAGATTGTATCAAACCCATATGATGGGAGCATCTGTGAGGAAAAGCTTACTTGCGGCATATTATACTACTAATAAATATGAATTCCCTTTTTTGAGTTCCAAGAAAAGAAGTATTGTTTGATGGTTTCATTGAATACTCTGATCTTCACTCATCCACAGAGATTTCTGGCAACACAGAAGATATTCCGTTGGTACGATGGAGGCAACAATGGCTGGAAAATGGCACACTTCTCTTTCATATCCACCATCAAGATGGTACTCCCAGCTTGCCAGGCTTAGAACCGACAGAAGAACCCCAGAGCGAATCGGCCGAAGAAGAGCTTAGGATTCTTCACATATCGGTAATGGTGAGTGTCCATTTCTCCCTAATGTATATATGTTGCTTATTCATCTATATTCCTTTGTTGTTTACTATAGATGTTCTTAAGAGTGAAAGATCTGATGAGAGAGGACCATAGAGTAACTACCACATTTTTCCTGAAACGTTTAGAAAAGTCAAAAGAGTTTCTGTAAAATTTGTAAAATTATTTTGTATGGTTCCGAAGTTTCATTTCTAAATTTTACATATACAGTCAGTCTCCAAGTTACAAACAACTCATGGTTAAGAACAGGGATGAGACAACAGGACATGAGAGAAATCTTTCCCTTGAGACTTCCCTCAGGAAGCAAAAGAGTTACCATGGGGGAAAGGCTTTCACATCATTTCTTGTTTCCACAACAAGCCAAATTTTTCAAAATCCAATTATCACAGGGACAGAAAGTGAGGTGAAATCAGGGTCACAAACAGCAAAACAAATACCACAGGGTTGCTAACCCTTCCCTATACTATTCAAAGCATATAGACAGACAGACAGACAGACATAGATATAGATATATTTGGCTGGAGTTACGCATAAAAATTGTACCTGTTCCAACTTACAATTCAAATTCAAATTAAGAACAAATCTACAGAATCTATCTTATTTGTAACTTGAGGACTGCCTGACATTGAATGTGACTCCATGAAGAAGTCACATTCCAGTGAACCAGAGGCATTCTCCATGAGACCCCACATGTAACGCTAACTGCAATACGGTGACTTACACCAGTTTATTTTAAGAAACCATGTTGCCCATTTTCTCTGGCATTACTGGATGGATAGTTCCTGCAAGGATACATGCCTTACTGCTGACCTCCCTTTGGTGTCATCAGCTTTCTTTAGTGCTGATCCTGCTGCTTCACTCAAGTATGCTTGGGAAACAGCCAGTGGTGACTAGTGAGTGGAGTAGTGGAGTAGTGAGCCCTGGTATTAGTCTAAATGTTTAAGAAACTCGTCAATATGCTGAAACTACAAAATTTAGGTTCATCACTTTGAATATTTTCTTTAGAGTCTGGAATAAAATCCAGTATGATTTACCACATCACTGTCATCAAAGCTCCATGATGACACCAGAAATGTGGCGGAGGAGTAGCTTCAGCCCATTAAGAGCTAGACTCAGAGGAGGCTTGAGCTCTTGGCTCATGATAGCAATCTGGGTTTTTAAAACTGGGGAAAATCATCCTCCACACTAATAGCTTTGGCACTATCACTAATCCTATTGTATACTCCAGTTATATCTGCTTTTACATATATTGACATTATGCTTGATCACCGTCTCCTAAAGCAACTACTCTACTCCGAACTCAAGAACGGGAAATTGAATGTTGGTGGACAGGAAAAGAGATTCAAAGATGGGCTCAAAGCCAACCTTAAAAACTGTGGCATAGACACCGAGAACTGGGAAGCCCTGGCTCTTGAGTGCTCCAGCTGGAGGTCAGCTGTGACCAGCAGTGCTGTAGAATTTGAAGAGGCACAAATGGAGGGCGAAAGAGAGAAACGTGCCAAGAGGAAGGCACATTAAGCCAATCCCGACTGCGACCACCTTCCACCTGGAAACTAATGCCCTCACTACGGGAGAACATGCAGGCCAAGAATAGGGCTCCACAGCAACCCAACCAAGAAACATCACTTGGAGGACCATCATACTCGGACTACGACGGATCGCCTAGGTGTTATGTGGATTTCCCCGCCCTCTTCCATTGCTTTTATCATCATGAAAAAGCTAGCTTCTGCTCAAAAACTTTGATTTTAACTTTTTGTAGTATGTGCAGAACCTACTGCCTTCTAAGTATTTTTGTGTCTGTTCTTATGGTTTATTGGTATCTATCATTGTGAAAGAAATTCCTCCCACAAACCCACCTTCCTGCCTGATTTCCTCATATAGATTTTTTAAAAGAGAAAGATAGGAAGAAGAGAGAGACACAAATACAATGGATGCCAATGAGGAAAGAAAACAAAAGATCAATGTGGGAGAGGCAGAGTTTTCTTTTTTAAGCCAAGTTGAAGAATCGTACAATACCTTTCGCCAGCAGAAGCTCATTAGCTGGAGACAATGTGTCGTCGGGCAGCGCTGATACCAAGGACGGGGATGTTTAATGAAGCCTGCCTTAATGAGAATGTCAATATCTCTCCTAGATTGCTGCCGGGGGCTAGCTTCCTCCCTTCATGTTTTGTTTTTTATTAGTCCTGGAGAAAAATTTAATAAACAGTAAAAACAAAACTGCAATGAGCATTTAGAATCTTTTTGCCCCAGAGGCTACCTATTGACTGCATGGTGGGCCAAATCCCACATTAAGTGGCAGGAAGCTCTTTGAGCAGTAGTGATGCTGAATGGCATCACGTAATGTCTCCTTCCAGAAGTTCAAACCTGATTTGGCTCCTAAGGCTCTTTCCCTACTGTGCATTATACCAGAATGTTGTTCTTTCAACCTCAGCCTTTGCAACTATTATATGCTCTTTGTTATGGCAGGATAGTTAGTGTTCCTTAGGAGCTGTCTCCAATCCTTGGGCCCCACTCCATCTTCCTTGTAAAATCTGCTTCATCATAATACAGAAATATCTCAATTAACAAAGCCTCTGACAACGAATGCCGCTCTCTGGCATTATGTTTGGTTTCTATGTTCTGTGTATATTGTTTATATGTTTATATGCTTTGATGTTTTATACTTTAATGTTATGTTATGTTGTGTGTTTTTTTGTATTGTAACTTGTTGTTCAGGCTTGGCCCCATGTAAGCTGCTCTGAGTCCCCGTTGGGGGAGATGGTGGTGGGGTATAAATAAAGTTTTTTAATTATTTTATTATTATATTATTATTTTGTTTTTTGTAATCTATATATTTATTTTTTGCCAATATAAGTATTATCGTGCAAATTATAAAAACAATAATTTTCCCTCTCTGACTTATATTACTATATACATCAATTTAAGCTAGTTTTGCCCACCCTCCTCATTGTAAAACAATAAAATAATATTAAAAGATTAAAATACTTTCCACCTCCCACTTCAAAGACACAAAGTGAAAATGTTGTTATAATCCCATCAGTCTTTCATTTTTGACAGTTTCCTCATTCTATCTTATTGTTTTAAAAAACTCATTATCTTTTTTGAAAACTTCAAAACACACTAGTGTTTTCACATTTCCCCTTTTCTTTATAAATGATTCCCAATCTTTTAAAAAGATATCAATTGGCTTTTTCTTAATCAAGCAAAATAACCTGTCAATTTCTTCTAGTTATAAAACTTTTGCCACTCAATTTTCTTTCAGGGCTAGTTCTTCAGTTTTTCAATTTGTTTTTGCATAGTAGTCTCGCTGCAATAATCATATAATGTATTGACTTGAAATTCATGATTTTTGCTTGTTCTTCTAGAAGTCCCAGTAAAAATAACATTGAATCTAATGCTAAGCTGATTTTAAATATCTCTTGTAGCCAATTTTGTAGCCATCTCCAATCTTGTTTTACTTTGTTTCATGTTCACCAAATATGATAGAAAATACCTTGGCAAGTTTCACATTATAAATGTATAGTGTCCTTGTAAATCCTCACCAATTTAACTGGGGCCAGGTACCATCTTCACATCATTTTATAGGAATTCTCTTTCAAATCAAAACTTAGAATATCTTTTAGTACTTTTTACCACATTATCTCCCATCTCGCCATCTCAATGTCCTGTCCAATATTTTTGGCCCATTGAATCATACATCCTTTCAGTTGTTCTTAATCTAATTCAATTTCTAATAGAAATCTGTAATTTTTTTCCAATGAATGCCCATTTTGCAAAGATTTCAGGACCTTCTCGCCCCCTTTCTTTCTAGTCCTCTGTGTAACTGGAGTATTTTTGAAACAACATTTGCATTGCTAGGATGGGAGATGAGGAATGGATAAACACAGACTTTGGGTGTCAGATGGCATCAGTGCATCTGTAGTAAAACAATAAAAGAAAGCATCAGTTGGAAAGAGTGTGATTTTCCTCTCATCAATCCTATTGTAGGCAAGGTAAAAAGCTGCACCCTTCAGAATCTATTACTAAACATGTGCGAACAGCAAAACAGAGAGAGAGGGAAGGGGAAATAAGATTAGTACCTTGTTATGCAAAATTCAGGTTAAACAAAGGCTTTCCAAGAAACAGAAGAGTCAAACAAAGTCCCATTATGTTAGAAGAAAAAAACAAAACAAATGCTGGAGTCTTTGTAAGCTAGCATTCTTAGGGCACATACACACGCAAGTTGTTGGAAGCAAGACAAATCCCAAATCCCGAGTCCAAGTTGCTGTGGTCATGCCAACAAAGTTTCAGTGTCCATTCAGGAACAAACAAACCAAAATTCCAGTCCAGGGTCAACAAAGCCAGTAGCCAGCCATGCCCTTACCTTGGGAAGTCTGACTTGGCCATAGTGGTCCACGTTCTGGTTACATCCCATATAGACTACTGAAACGCTCTGTACATGGGGTTGCCTCTGAAGACTGTAATTAGTCCAATGCTTGGCAGCCAGGTTACTCATGGGAGGGGGGTACAGGAAACGCACAACTCCCTTGTTGCCGAGCTCCTCTGACTGCCAATTAGCTTCCGAGCACAATTCAAAGTGCTGGTTTTAACTACAAAACCCTTTACAGTTCCGGACCAGTTTATCTGTCCGAACGTATTCCCCCCTATGAACCATCAAGGGCATTAAGATCTTCTGGAGAGGCCCTGCTCTCGGTCTTGTCACCTTCATAGTCACGTTTGGAGGGGATGAGAGACAGGGTCTTTTCTGTTATGCCCCCGGCTATGGAACTCTCTCCCGATTGAAACTAGATCTGCCCCGTTCCTCCTGACCTTTAGGAAGCAAGTGAAGTCTTGTTTGTGGAACAAGGCAGTTGCAGAGTGATGGCTGAGACTGGTAATGGACTAAGGTATTGACCACAATGTGAGGACTGAGTTGGACGTTGTTTTTATCCTGGTGAATGTTTTAGTATGCTTTTTATCCAATATGTATTTTTAACTTATTGTTT